AGAAAAAATGTGCGCCTTTGAAAATACGTAATTACAAAGACTACAAACCCCACAGTCTTATACCGCAACAGTTTTACATCAAACTGCGACTTTCTTGACTTTAAAATGTATCTTTTAAATTGACAAACATCATATGTGTAATTCAGGGCACAATTCAAACGAGATCAAAATATTTGTTGTCTCTCGCCATTGACTACCATACAATATTTTTCCGAAATAGGGTCCCATGGTGGCCGACCGGAAGGGGAGGGACTTAGGCTCTCTATAGGCGTGTGTGTGTGTTTCTTTATAAAGTGACATCGCCATCTACTGGCCTGGCAGCAGAATACAGCGTTTTTCGTGGATCTGTGTGAATGGGGATCGTTTTGATAATCGTCAGTACGTGGAAAGTGCAAATGAAAAACGTTTCTGTTTTTAGTACATCGTCTCATGTAATCGTTCCCTCAGTGCTAAACTGTGTGTGTGTTGTGTGTTTCAGGGCTCGGTGGCGCGGTGGGTTACGCTCTGGGCGGTCTTGACTGGACACACACCTTCTTGGGTCGAACCTTTAAGTCTCAAGAGCAAATTCTGTTCATGTTCGCCGCGTTTCTTTTCACGATCTCCGTGGCTCTGCACCTGTTCAGTATCGAGGAGCAGCAGTTCAGTCCGCAACAGGACCGTCTGGACGAGGAGGCGGAAACCCAATCCAGCGTTAAAATCGCACCGCAGCTCGACATGATCCACGAAGACGAGCACTACGGCTATTATGACACGGACCGGCGGTCGGAGCGCGAGCTCGATATGGACTTCTTAGACGTGGAGATCGTTCGCTGTAAGAGCGACTCCGTTTTAGCGATGACCGACGCCACGCTAGACCACCTAGATCACGATATGCTGTTCCTACGCGAAATCGAGCCGTCAATCTTCCAAGATCGCATTTCTTCCTATCACGGGTCACCGCCGCGCCGAAGCAGCAGCGCCGGGAGTCAAGAGTTCATGCGCGGAAAGTTCAGTCGCTTATCCGCGTTTTTGCAGCAGGTTGAAAGCGAGGGAGAAGAAGCTCTGCTAAACAATCAGCTCAACGAGTCTAAAGCTCCTAACGGACATCCGACGGACCTCAACGGACACGGGCCGCCCGGTTTGCAGACCTCAAGCACTAACGCATCAATACGCCGAAGACGCCACACGTTCTACCGACAGTCGTCCTGCACGTTCTCATACTACGGCCGAGTCGGATCGCACCGCTACCGCTACCGGCGCGCCAACGCCGCGTTCCTCATCAAACCGTCCCGCAGCATGAACGACATCTACGAGATGGAGAAGCGCCAGAAGCAGAGGAACGGGCAGAGAGCGAGGCATCAGAGCGGGAACACCAACTCCAGCGGGGACACGGAGAGCGAGGAGGGCGAGACCGAGACCACCGTCAGGCTCCTGTGGCTGTCCATGCTGAAGATGCCCAGAGAACTGTTCAGACTGTGTGTGTGTCACCTCGTCACGTGGTTCGCCATCATCGCCGAGGCCGTGTTTTACACCGACTTCATGGGGCAGGTCATCTACGAGGGAGACCCTACGGTGAGATCCCGCACTGAGCAAAAGGATTCTGGGGGGAAGTAAATATTTACATCGAAAAGTTAGTTTAAGGCAAGAATTTAAAAAACGAAATAAATTCTATATTAGTACTCAATTCAAGCGTGCAGAAATGAAAGCGTAAATACCAACGTTATAAAATTAAGTAAAATTACTCGACTTTTCTGATACTGGTGTTCCCATCATGCACTGGCCCTTGAATAGTTGATTTTTCACTGTTTTAGTAACTTGCCATTTTGTGAGATTTGGAGTTCATTTTCTACTCAAAATGACACATTCAAACACAGAAACGATCCATCAAATGTTACCGTCATTGTGTATCGTCTACCCAGTAATGAGGTCTCTGTAATTTTGATATGTAGATTTGGTGTCTCACACAACATCTAATATATTATTTACTTAGATGTTATATTGTTAGAGTGAAATGTACTGCATAGGAAACTTAAACTAAATAGATTTTACTCAATCTTTTACTAGCCAAGTTAAAATTACTTATTTTCTTTGTGACTTTCACTTAACTTAGTTAAGTAGAGTTTACTTTGCAAATAAATAAAAAGAGAAAGACCAGTCTGATGAGAGAGTTTGTGGCCCTGTAGGCCCCGCTGAACTCCACGGCCCTTCATAACTACCACCGCGGGGTCCAGATGGGCTGCTGGGGGCTGGTGATCTACGCTGCCACCGCTGCCATCTGCTCAGGTACGTCTCCTCAAACCACACCTGTGCAATTACACAGCGCTTCTGTCAGGAACACTATCGGCAAGTACGAATGACAGTTAGCATATAGTTCGGATTGGCGGTCTAGTTCTGTTCTGGCCAGTCTAGCATGGATAAGAGCAGAGATAACTCACTCAGGGTAAACAGAACAGAACCAACATGAATGTATTGCAGACAATGTTGGGAAAGTTCACTTTCTACACGAACTAAATTTTAAAATGGACTAGTCCAGATAATAGTTCATACTTCAAAAGTTCACAGTTCAAAAAATGAACTAGTTCATGGTTCTGCAAGCTATTTTTTCATATACAACCAGAGACAGCAATTATTTTATCGGCGGGCAAAGTTTGCACTGAAATGTAAGATTTTTCCCATCCTCACCGACCTTGTCATAAAACTCGTTTAAATTATCATACGACGCTGCTTTGTCGACTACACGCTGCTTTTTGTTTTGATGACGCATGCGGCGGCCGCGGTGCGACACTGGTGGCTGGTGTTGCCAGATTGGGTGTTTTTTCGCTACATATTAAGGCCTGTTTACGTGTGTTTTAGCCGGGTTTTCCCCTGGAAGGCTCTATAGAAATCTGGCACTATTGAACGAAGTTAAACTGAGAGAGCGTGCGTTCACAGACACCAGAATGAACGAGTTCACAGTAACGTTCATCAGGCAGTAATACAGTACGCTCAGTTCACGTTCGCCCCAAAATATGAACGAGTTCAATGAACACGTTCAGGCACAACACTGTTTGCAGATATCATGAATTCAAGATTTTAAAGTACAACATAATTCGAGAATTTATTCTGATTCAAAGGCACTCAGATGTAAATCCTGACTGAGACAGGAGGAGCTGGGGAGGGAGGAGGGTAATCGCCCCTGAGGACGCGATCGCTGCTGATAATACTGAAGAGCTGATATATGTTGTAGTAATGTTCAGATATTTAATAACTCTGGGAAGGAAGAGGACAGGGTCGGCTTGCGGAGACTGCGGGTGTTTATTGGAAACAAAGAAACAAAACAAACAAAACAACTTCACGCACACAGCGTTTAACTCAGTGTCAGCAATTATCCAATACGTTCCTCGCGCTCTCTGGCTTTCCTCGTCTCAGGTTTCCCACACTCTTTCCGCTATCGGAAGCTCGCTGTGTGTTGCACCCACAGTTCTCCGCTGGTCTCTCTCCCCTTGTCTTCTTTCCACATGGCTTTTATTCTCTCTCTCCAGGCCAATCACTGAAACAAGACACAGGTGTTCGTCATTTGCACTTGACCCACTTACCCCGCACCTGTCTCCCAATCTTCTCTCCCGGTACAGACTCCGCTAGGCCACGCCCCCCTTGCCACATATGTGTACAGTGATAGGCGTCGTATTCCTATAGGTAGACGTGGACAAAGTCCTTTTAGGCAAGTCATGCCACTCGGCCGCCATCTTGGCAACGCCTCCGGGCAGCTATTTCCGACTAACAAGACCAGGCTCCTATCTAAATGAATGGGCAGAGAGTCAGAACTGCACTTTCACTGGTCATCGGGACATGAAAACTGCATGTATAGAAACAGCAGTAAAATATGATAAAAATCGCTGAAAAAGTTTGATGACTTTGCCCAAAAGAAGGTTTAAAACACCTTTTTCCCCACAGGTTATACTTTTACTACGCATGCGCAAGGGTTCACGACACCAACTTCATTTACGTCTCTCCAGAATGCCGGTGTCGTGCTCTACAGCACATACTTAGAATGTAAGGTAACATATTTGTGGTCGATATAAAATGCTTTAACTACTGTAACAAGGTTCAGATGTTATGGAAAGAAGGAGGCAGGAACCGGCGAACATTCAACCATTTTAATAAATAAACAAATCCAAAAATGGAAGTATGCCAGCAGCCCCGGATGAGCTGCTGGCCACACAAAACAGAAACAAAACACAACATAAAATCAGGCCTGTTCCTCTCTCGATCTCCATGTCGTCGCTCCACCTTTTATGCCTCCGCTCCTCCGTGAGAGATACGAGACGATGCGTCGCGCAGGTGCCGCTCATCAGTAATCACGCCACCGGCCTCACGCAGCTCTCTCACGTCCCTCGTCCTCGGCCTGCTCGCCACAACTACCTTGGTAGTCCGGTGTTTTCGCGTTGTTATCACCCTCTTCCATGTGGATTCCATCTGATCTTGCACACAACACCATGGCACAAAACAACTCGCTGTCGCCAAATCGTCTCCGCTGTCGCAAACCTCAACTGTGCGCATGCGTCAGTGGAACCAGACGATAGGCTTAAATGTTTCCCGGCTTGACTGTTAAAAGGCAGACGATTGGCTTTCCAGCGGGAGGGGCGGGACATATGCATACAACCGCCATCTTTGACGTTACAGGTTTTCCCTATATAGTTGTATTGAGGATTGAGGAAGTGGCATGTCTCTATATAAATAGTCTCTGACGCGGATCAGCTGATGCGAGCTTGACTAACGTGTCAAAACATGACTTAATTTTTATTCCGAAAATATATCAATGGACATTTTTAAAAGGGTTTCTCCTGGAACAATTTTAGAATTTCTGACAAATATTAAATTGACAGATTCTATGTAAATGTTATTACTGTTGTTACTATTGGTATATATGTCTGATTTTGTATATTGATTGTTTTTTTAAGGAAAATTGTTAAATTGTTAAACTTCCGGTGGAGAGTACGCTGGCGCATGTTGGCTGCCGCTAATAATTTATTCTTAAATTAGTATATTATATGTATTAGTTGATGTGTTTTTTTATTACACTGCTTTTGCATTATAAATAAAATGTATTATTATTATTATTATTAATGTTTTTATTGATTGTAATCATAATTTTTTTTAAACTGAAACTGAATATAGCCATTGCTGCTGATATGGCGTTAAAATATAAATAAATATTATCTCCAGCTGCAACCGTCTCACCAGATCAATGCACTTGTTCATTCTCCATTTCTCCTGTGAACGCAGCTTTACTGCAGAAGTACCTGGATAACTTTGACCTCAGCATAAGGTCATCTACATCCTGGGCACTCTGGGATTCGCGATCGGGACGGCCGTAATGGCAATCTTCCCGAACGTCTACGTGTCTATGGTGATGATCAGCAGTATGGGCATCATCTCCATGAGCATCTCGTACTGTCCGTACGCTCTTCTGGGACAGTATCACGATATTAAGAGGTCAGAGTCGCCAGTGCACTCACACACACACACACACACTCACACTCATCTCTCTGAGACTCTAATCCTGCCGAATTAAAGCTAATCCCGTCCCTTCACCTCATCTTTGTCATGACCAGTGTTGAGGGGGACATGTACCAGGCATTATGTGTCTTCAGATTACTTTCTGGGTGTAACGAGTAGATAACTTGATTACATTGTTCAGTAGCATGACAGCAATTTAGCCATTTTTTTTTAAATAGCTCTACCAATAATTAATAGTGGTGTAGCATAGAAAAAAACATTACATTGCTTTTTTTTTGTTTTGGGTCATAGTATATAGGGCACCAGGAAACTGAATATTAGTAGTACTGCAAATTCTGATTCATTTTTTTTTCTTCCCAAAAACATTTAAATAGATATTTTAAAATATTTAATTTTAAATATATATATTTTTATAATATCTTAATATTTAATCTTCTAGAAATTTGGAAGTGCAATCTCGATATTTTGAGCAAACTGAATAGGTAGTGCTGTAAATTCTGATTCATTGTAATGTATTTTTTTATTAAAAGAATATATATTTAAAAAATATTTTTATAAAAAATTTAATAATCTACTAAAAATTTAAATTGCAATCCCTATAAATTGATCAAGCTGAATAGCTAGTCCTGCAAATTCTGATTAATTTAATTGATTTAATTAAATAATAATAATTAAAATAATAATAATTATTATATTTTTATTTTTAAATATATATATATATATATATATATATATATATATAGTTAATCTGCTAGAAATAAAATTGCAATCTTTATAAATGTAAAAGGTCTGCAACAGCAGCACACAAGCGAAGGGAATAGGGAGTGCTTTTTATTTATTTACATTCTTTAATAAAGAAAAAATGAATGCTGCTGATTGTGATTTTAATTGTATTTCATTTTTATTAAATATTTTAAAATGCATTTAAATAAATAATTAATCAGCTAGACATTTAAATTGCAATTGCAAAAGTCTGTGTCCTGTTATCATAAACAAATGTAAATATCATGCCTATTCACTGGTCACAGGGTTACATTTAATTCTACCTTACAGGTCATATAAAATAAAATATATTATTAGTTGTTATTAGACTGTCTCCAAATAAACAGCCGTCTTAGAGCAGCTCATGCAATGCACGTTTTAGTGGAGAATCTAAAGGCTAGAATACTTTGATAACTGTTGTATTATCATTATTTATCTAAATAAACCGTTGTCATATGTGTTATACACTCAAAAAACGTCCTATTTATTTAACTGATGTCCTAGTGGAGAGCATTATGATTATCAAAAGTTGCCCAGTGCATTATGAATCAGTTTTTGCTGAAAATATATTATTAGTTGTTATTCTTAGAGCATGCAATAAAGGTGCCAATAATGTTATATTCTCCTCATTATTAATCTAAATAAACCGCTGTCATAAGTTATTAGCTTGGAGAGTTATCAAAAGTTGCCCAGTGCATTATGAATCTAATGTACAAATGTCATGTGACGGGACGTTTAGATGCGACTGATGTGTTTTTGCAGTACGTCCAGCACAGTCCCGGGAACTCGAAGCGAGGCTTCGGCATCGACTGTGCCATCCTGTCGTGTCAGGTGTACATCTCTCAGATCCTGGTGGCGTCGGCACTGGGAGCGGTGGTGGACGCGGTGGGAAGCGTGCGGGTCATTCCCATGGTGGCTTCCGGCGGATCCTTCCTCCTTCCTGGGGTTCCTGGCGTCCTGCTTCCTCGTCATCTACCCGGGGTCCAGCCGGGACGGGGAGAAGAAGGCCTCGGCCTCGTCTAGTAAGACTAACGGTGTCACCGAGAAGCCCAGCTTCCTCAAGCTCACTCGCAAAGGCGCCGCAACCACAACCTGCAAAGTGGAGTGTGAATCCACACTGTGAATGTGATCGAACACGGCTAACATTCCCCACGGACGCTTTTCTCCTTGTTTTTGTTGGTTTGACTGTTTTAGTCCTGGTGTTGCGGGTCTCAGGGCTGCATCTCAGGGCCACCAGGGGGCGACCTCTGGGCTGAACTCTTCAAGAGAGAGAGAGAGAGAGAACTGCGCTGGTGTCTCTCGCTCTCAACCACATGCACTTCCCTTGCACACTTTCATCCTAAACTAATCTACTGTAAAGAGTCTTTAATTATTAGGCAATCGCTCGATAACTATAGTTCTTTTCCTATTTTTGTAACTGATGTCCTGGTGGAGGACGTTATGATTACCAAAAGTTGCTCAGTGCAATAATAAACAGTTGTTTCACTATAATGGCTTTATTTCAGTCGTGTTATGCAGGTGAAAGGGTGAATCTCACCAATAAATGTCATTTATTCATTTCTCAAGAAAAATACCAGAAATTCTGTTTGCATTCGCCGAAAATGAAGGGAATTTCTAGAATCCGTAACTTTTTTCCATTGCGACTTAATGACTATTTTCATGACAACTTAAAATTGACATTATAAAAAAAGTAAAGTTTTTTTTTTTTTTTTTTGCTTGTTGCTTTAAAAACAAAACAAGCAAAAAGCTCAATATCAGCGAGAAGCTGAAGCTGCAGTCGTTTATGAATTAAAAACAATCTTTATCCAGTTATCATAAACATCTAGGAAGTTTCTTTTAAAATAGGATACATATAGAAATAGAAATAAATAGCAACCGTACAATTGGCATTTACTTTACAAATGAAATAAAATATATTATTAGTTAGACTTTTTTTTTTAAGTACAGTATATATTTAAAATATATATATTTGCATTACTATGGAAACACACCGGACATTCATGAAAGCATATGTATAAACGTGGCCACGAATTAACAATTCATTCTCTTGTTTTAGTAAATCGCACAATATAATTATTCATTCCTTTGTTTTATATGGTGCACAATCACAAGATGTAATAATTATTATGATTTAGTAAATCGTGGCCACTGTTTTACTAAGTCGTTCTGATTGAACTAAAACAAGGGAACTAATTATTACAACAAAGCGTGGGGGAACGAATTATTATATTTTTGTGCACGATTTGCATAAAACAAGGGAACGCAATAGTCATTGGAAGGAATCATTAATTCATGGCCACGATAGGCTATCCATATTTTGCCACGTGTGGGACTCCGTACATTACAGTAATGGAGAAATGTTTAATGTGGTGAAAATAATGCCGAATAAGAAATGCTTTATTTTCTTCGTGCAAAATGTCTTTCTTTTGATTTTGAGGTGAGAAGTGTGATCCGTGGCAGTGTTGGTGAGATTCCCCCGAGCGCATGTCCTGGAGCGTCAGTGCCTCTCCTCAATGACGCACTGAAGTGCTTTGATTCGTTCAGTGCGAAGCTGCTAAAGTCAGCGAGTTAGAGAGGTTTAGCTTTCCACGTTTCTCATCGCTTCCTCAGACGCCATAAGCAATGCTGAGAACGAGTAATAATCTCAATGCTGCATCCGTTTTTCACGCATATACCAAACCCAGAAAAGCATGACGCTAGCTCTTACACTGACAGACTTCCGCGGTGCGATGTCTTTATGATATAGCGGTGTAATTGCGTTTGTGATTTCTGAGGTTGACGGCACTTTTTGGCAGATCTTCTGGTTTCTACACACTCTGGTTTACATTGGTTGCTGTGTTCGGTGGAGAGATGCGTTCGCTCGCTCTGGTCTATCGGAGTAACTCCTCTCCGCCATCTTGGCTCCAGCTGCACTCCAGTTTCCTGACACTGAGGATGATTGTGCCAGACTTGATTGAGTTTTTCTGGACCTTTCGGTGTGTGTGTGTGTGCGATGAAGGTCTGGTGACTTCTGTGCAAACTCATGTGATGAAGTCTTTACTGGACACAATTCTACTTCCTGTCTTGATGGTTTACCAGGCCAGTGAAGAGGACGTTTTGTTGAGGCACATTTGTACTGGCTTTAAGAGTATTAAAATCTTATGATAAGCTATATATATATAATTTTTTTCTGGAATGTTTATTGATAATAAAACCAAACTTGAAGACGGAAAAAAAAAATCAAGTTTCTGACAAATCAAACCGCGTTGCAATACGTGCCCCAGCCTCGGTCAGTGTTGGCATTACCGTTGGCGAATCACTGGAACACTTTTCATTTGAATACTTGAAGTGCAATCTTGGTTGTGTTTGGATATTTCGGGATGCGTGCGACGACTCCAGACCTCGGAGCAAAGACTGGGGAATGTCGGGATTGTAACGGACTCTCGGAGAGCGTTTCTGACTCCCTCAGGGATTGAAGTTTCCAGTATTGAATGTAACGTTTGTTTGTTTTTTTAGGGCAAGAAGATTCAACGTTGCACCGAACTTGCACATACAGAGTTTTAAAAGAAATATGAATCACTATATCTTGCAATAGACAAACCTAAACTGTGGTTATTTATTTTTTGAGCGCTTTATCCTTAAATATTTAAAGATATTATAAGTACAGAGAAAAATATATTTACAGCTTGTGAGATGAGATGTGTGTGTGAGAGAGACATGCATGATCGTATGACCACTGTGTGTGTGTGCGTGCATGTGTGTTTTGCATCTCACTCTTTTATAGGATGCATTTCATGAAAATGTCCAATCACAATTCACCCTAAAATTGAATGAAAAATAACATAAAATATTTGATTTGCAAACAGAAAATAAAGCATATGTAAATTTTTCATTACGACCCCCCCCCCCCCCCCCCCCCCCTCAAATTCTCAGTATTGTAGTAGAACAATAATATTTTATTATTATTATTATATATTAATATATACTGTGTGTGATATATATATATATCTACATCTAACATTATTATTTTCCCATTAAAATGAGAATTTGAGTGCAAATTTGCTTATTTTTTTTATAATGCAAAATATAATTCCCTATTTCTTTCTTTTGATTTTGGGGTGAAATGTTTTGTGACCTTGAGATTCACTCTATATAATCATCTTTAGTTTACAATTCACATTTCTAAAGATACTGTAATTCTGAAAACTACGCAGTCTTTCTCTTTCTGTGTGTGTGTGTGTGTGTGTCTTCGCCTCACTGTCACACGGAGTGTGTTTCACCGTTCGGGAGGATCGTGTGGGAAAACCAGATGGATGTTATTTCAGCGTATAATGTATGACGGGAGAGTGTACTATATGCCTTGTCATTTCAAAGATGTGTGTATATATAGATTCTTTTGCTTCTGTACAAAAGCTTATTATTTTTTATTAGTTTATTTTCTATGAGGACTGTATATAAATCCTGTACATATGCCTGAAAATGTAGAGGAACTGAAAAACACTGTATTGAATGCACCTTTAAAGAATTTAAACCAAATACGACAGTCTGTCATCTGTGTTTTTTTGGATTCGTCACACTCATATTTCACATATGGTCACATTGATCTTGAAAAGTTCATCCAAATATGAAAGTCATGCAGGTTTGGAGCAACTTAAGGGTGAGTCGATTATGAGTGAATTGTCTTTTTGGTGAAATGTTTCTTTAACAATATTTTGTGTGTGTGTGTGTGTGTGTGTGTGCATAATTCCAAACGGAATTATGTTTATATATAATCTATAGCGCCATCTACTGGACACAGAGTTTGAGAGACACAATTTCATGATTAAATATTTAAAAAATCCAGGGTTTTCTTACAAGACTGCATTCTTTTACAATTAATTCTCTTTTTAAGTCCGTTTAATATCATTTCAGTTAAAATGACAAAATAATTAATGCAGCAACTGAAGTTTTTTAAGTATATTTTGTGTGTCTTTTTAATCTTAATAATCTCGTCAACTTGCTCCTCACATTATTTTCCAGCTGATGTCGAGCTATTGTTTAATGTTAATCAATATTCAAATGATTTAGTCATTTTTTTAGGCCACTGTTGTAGAAAATACCCTGAAATCTTGAAATCTTAATGTGAAATTCTACATTTTGAATGCTTTAGTGACTCTAGTGTTAGTAATGCAAAGTATATTTGCCCAAAATTGCCCCAAAAACAGATGTTTGTCCAGAGGTTCTGCATATACATGTTATTATTAGTCATATCAATTATCTGGAAATGATATTTGATTCAGGGTTATTGTAGTTAACAAAAACTAAAAGTATTTGATAAAAAATGGCATTTATTTTATTTCAGCTAGTTGCCAAGGAAACATTTCTCATTTCATTTAGTGTAACTTCAACTTGATACTGAAATAACTAAAACTGAAATAAAAATGAACAAAAGCTATACAGACATTGTTTTTAAAAAGCAAAACCTAAAAAAAATGACAAAACAACAAAATTACTAAAACTTCAACAAAAATTCAAATGAAAACAAAAAATATAAAAACTAATCATACAAACTATAGTAACTCAATGCTCTAAGTGAACACAGAGAGTGTGATGTCGAGTGACTCTGGTTATTTAAATGTGCCATTATTCGCCCAGTTCACCCCAAACACGTGAACAGCATCCATTTAGGACGTCCATTTAACCGTAAAACATAATGACAGAGTTTGTATTAATGTTATTTGATGATAATTTCTTCAGCTGATCTGAATTATGCTTTATGAACAGCTGATAATTACAGGTTATGGAGGCTTTATTCAGAATTACTGAGAGTAAATATTCATGCACTTCAAGCCTTTCAAACTAATTACTATGACAGTATGGTATTTATTTACAAGTTAATAATTGTTCAAAGAAAAACTTTTTTTTCGTGAGTGCAATTATCGTTTCTTTATATATATATATATATATATATATATATATATATATATACATAGGCCTACTCTTACGGACCTTTTCAACATAAAACATCTTTTTCATCTTCTTCTCTCCACATTTGTAAGTCGCTTTGGATAAAAGCTTCTGCTAAATTATTAAATGTAAATGTATATATATATCTGCATAAACTAATGATATTTCCCTTCTAGCTCTTTTATTGCTTATTTTATTATTTGTTTGATTATTTATTACACATTTTTAAATGTGATGTAAATTTAATTACTACATACAAAATAATATTATGTAAATTATTATATATCATATTTAATATTTTAAATCATATATTCATAAATCATTGGTTTAAAGAC